ATTATTTCACTTTGTTCATAGTCTTGATTTAAAATTTAATTTTTTTTTTATAATTTTGAAAGTATAAGTTAATATTTATTAAATAATTAGATGTGGTATTAAAAAATTGTTTTCATTATTTCAGTAGTTTGGTTGTTTATTAGCAATATACATTGATTTGTTATTAAATATCATTCTGGTTTCTAAAATTTAATATAATTATTCTGGGTTATCTAATATATTTTCAACTTATTTGTATTACAAATGAGTTTAAGACAAAAATACTGACTCCATTGTTTTTATCTCTTTTTCTGTTACCTAATATATTATTATTTCAAATTAAAAATACAATGATACCTCATTGAATTTAGTGTTTGAAGAATTTGAAATCCAAGACAAAAATTTTGCTTTGGATTTCAAATGACGCTTCATAATTCAAACTGTGCAGACACTGAAAAAATGCACTTGAACCAGGGTTATGGAGTTTTGGTGATTTAGTTGGAGTCATTAAAAAATCTACTGACTCCAACTCCTTTTTACTTCCCAACTTGTTATGTATATAAAATTGAAAAGTATTAGAATTGTGTCATATTTGACCCTCCAAGTTTGTTTGCAAATCTACACATTTGGAGACTTCCCAAACAAAACATAAATAAATAAAACTCATCTCTACTCTCAAAATTAAGCTTTTTGTCATTTTATAATAGTACAGTAAAATCCATTAATATGTTCTTGCCTAAGATGTAATAACAGGGATGGCCAACATATGGCCCATGTAATGAATTTATGTGGCACGCGATCAATCTTTCAATATTAGCTACTCAAATCTGAATAGCTCGATAAAAAATTCTGACACCTAAAAAAAAAAAAAAACTCAAGTCATCTCTTGCTCTTGAGAATTACGCTTGTATTCAGTACTTTTTTGCTTCACATTTGGTATGTTTGGTTATATAAAATTGTGTATTTTTTCAATTTTTAACAATTTCTTCCTGTAATTTTTCTTTGTTGGCATCTTTTGAATGCCTTATACTGTACATTGTTTATCAGTTAGTTCAAAATTTAGGAACATCTTCCCCATAGACATTATGAACCTTTTTTACTGTTTATATGGAATTATATCCTTTCTAAAATGCATAAAGAGTAGCATGCTACATGCTTTTTAACCTGAAGATATTTCAACTCAATTTTATTCAAACAAAATATGAAGTAAGAAGTTTAAAATAAGCTTATAAAGCTTATTTTAAACTTCTTAAAGTTTAAAATAAGAAGTAAGAAGTTGGGGAAAATTAATGAATGCAAACTTTTTATATAAAAACAATCATCAAAATTCCAGAAATTATTACTGAAAGTCTGATTTATTTATATACATTGCACAGTTCTCTACTTAAGTATTAAGTAAAATAAGCTTATAAAGCTTATTTTAAACTTCTTACTTCTACAAAGAACAGAACCTCACATTAGCTGTAATGTGTTAAATTTCACAAATGTTATAAATAGTTAAATCTATATTAATTAAGTAAGGACAGCTGTTAAAAATAAGCAAAAACTTTGTTTGACCCAATATAATCTTTACTTATTTACTATGATATCCAAAAAGGGTGCAGAAGTAACTACAGTAGACCCCCTATAAAACAGGTTCACATGATAAGGATTTGTATATAATGGCAAAAAAATTGCGATCGTATTCGTATAAACACGCTAAAAGAGACTCATATGATACGGTAAAACGTCACTGCCAACTCATGTCGCAACAGGATTGATCTAATCTAGACCAATAGCAGATATTGCACAAACCATTGAATCTAAACGAGCAGCAGACCTATTAAAAACCAATTATTATTTAACGTCCATAAAAATTATATTTACATTTTAATGATGTCTCCAAAGTTTAGCGAATTTTTCGCAAAAAAAAATATAATTTATCAGGAAACACGTGTCTGCTGTTCGATGCGCCACTCCACGACGAAAACAAGCTTAAGCAATGGCGTCGTCGAACAGTGCACACTCAGTAAGTAATCCTACAATTTTTTTTGTTTATAGCACAGTTTATATTGATTATTCCCAAAAAATTATACGTGTTTTGAAAATGTTGAGGCAAATTAGTCTAGAATCAATTAATTTTATGGAAGAAAACCTTTCAAACAGCCATAGTCCGTAAACTGCATACGTGCCGGGCTGTGATTGGCTCATGTATTTAAGGACTCGTAGAACATGAATTTCATAAAACACGGAACGTATCTACCATGTTATAGGGGGTCTACTGTAACTCTAAGCCAGCATCCAGTGATCATAGGCATGAACATGCTACCAAGCAGAACAAACAAACTGGTACAAGCAGATGTGCATGTCCAGAATGCATTTTGCACACATCGACCACCAGATGACACTTCTACATGCATGTGCAGGAAGCAGCTACCAGCAAGTTTGATTGCCACTTCCAAAGAAGAAAAGCTAGATTGTCTTTTATTTCACAATACAAATGGTGAAATTCCCCAAAGACAACATTTCTTATAAATATCACGTATCTTTTGCCTGTAAGAAGTTTCAGTAATACAATGTAAAAACTGTTTTTTCATGGCAAGCATTTGCGAGATACTAGGGGTTTTTAGATTCAAAACCCCACTTTCGTGACACCAATATGTGAACTGCTGGGGAGGTTGAAGGTCTCCTGGGGTGCATCACTAGTCAGGATGACAAGTCAGGCGAGTGAAGGGAGAGAATTTGGGGTCGACGTTAAGGTGAAAGGCATATACGAGTCAAGGAGTCTACCATTTTTAACAAGTATAAAACAAGAATTTATTAAAATGAATAAATTTGACAAAAAGACTACACAAATCTCTTTCTAACCAGCTCGAGAGAGAGTTACATGCCTTTTCATACCTCTTTGGATGGTTCCTAGGTGAGTAAGTCCATGTAGGCACTTAAATGTCCAAGTAATGGTGTCTTTTATCCAGAAGAGCACAATTATAAAAAGTTCGCGACTTTGGCGATGATAGGATATTGATGTTCATAGATCGGAATTCAGCAGGTTCGGAGAATCGGTGCAGTGTTGTCGGTCCAGTGTTCGTTAAGAGACTCCCTGAGAAGGGGTAAGAACAGTCTTTTATAGCTTTTTGTGGGGAATTTCCACCACGTGATTGAATGTTTATGAGCTAAAGATTATAAGTGTCCCAGGGACCTAAAACAAGTGATGAAAGTTGGATGCTAACTATAAACTTTTGTGCAAGACGAGCTGCAAGTTCTGCAGAGAACAATAGATGTTGATAGTTATGACAGGAAGGTTTACACATTCCCAGATAAGATTGTTTTTTTTTTTCTAATTCATTACATAAACGAAAGTAAATTAATTAAATTTTAGTTAATAAAAGAGCGGAATTTTCATTAATAAATTCCAGATCTCACACATTCAATGAAATTGTCTTGTTGCCATTTTGTAAACAACACGTGTCCACTCTGAACAGAAATCGCTCATAAATTGGAAGCACGTACAAAGATTCTTTCTGCTTGCAGTCACTGGATGCTGCTATGTAGGATGTATCTTCTTAAGAGGAAGGTTGTAATATCAATGATTGTATGAAAAAGGAACTTTATTGTGAAGTGTGAAAGCAATACACATGTAGCTGCTATCTTTAAGATGTCAAAGTGTGTAACTAGTAAATGCAATTTTCAGTTTATTATGCAGTATTTATGTATTTTATTTATTGTTTTTATTTAATGTTTTAATTTATTATTAGAGCATTTAATAGTGCTATTTTTACATTAAGTAGCGTGTATTTGCACTTTTAAGTTTATCAAAATTGTACTGTTCAGGATCAGAGAACGAATGAATGAATTCACTTTCCATTATTTCTTATGGAAAAAATTGATTTGTACTTTTGAACAACTTCCTGAAATGAATTAAGTTCAAAGTACAAGGCACCACTGTACTACTATGATCAAAAAGTACCAGGAATGGTTCATTTAAATTGCATGCAGGCAAGAAAGGCACAGTTTTTTTTTGGGGCTGTTTTTTTTTTTTACTTTCATCGATATCTAGCAGCAATCTGTATGTCATCATCTGGTTTTCTTTGCAAATAAATGCTTATTTAGTGCATAAAAGATTTTTGCACCAGAGATTTTTCGAAATGTTGAATGTAACTGAGCAAAGAATGCACATTAAATTTTGTTTTTGCAATGGAATTACTGCTATAACAAGCTTGGTCAAGCCGATCAGATAACATGCTCCACAAATAATGAATCAAATATTAATTTTGTTTAAAATAAATTTTATAAATTCTTGGAATCAAGTTGTTGTTGCACATGCGCATGGACATGAACAATAAATGGATTGAACATAACATAACACTTAACAAATGGTGGAATATCAGCACCATAGTAATGTAACACCAACTTGTATCTCTAAACCTTTTACCGGTGCGCGTATTATCTCACTCTATAACAGTTACAAATGTTTTCAAACCATTACGGTTTTTCTTCAGGTACCGATCCCCTAACAAAATGCAGTTCAACGATGTTATGAAATACGATCCGGAACGATGTCCCGACCCGATGATGTCACTACGGACTTGCGCGTTATATTGATACATGGCGTGCTCTATCTTAGCAATTTATCTATTAGGGCCTGCCAGGCCGTCGATAGAGCGATTTCGTCCTTGTAGTTAATGCAATAACGTCCTTCACTCGTGTTTATGCATATGTATATTGCCTCCAGCCATCTGAGGTGGTTCGTGCAGTGGGTGGTGTGAATGACCTTTGCTTGCGAGACCCCTATGACAAACTACTAGAAGAGCACATCAACCGTATGCAATGCAGCATCGCTAACAGCGACGCCAATTTACAAACGAGAGTTAAACACTTCGCCAATATGAAGCTAGTGAAACGGCTGGGACTAAAAGATATCATTACCGATGCACCTACGCCACCTCGTTTCATCACGGTTTTAGACTTTAAGTCACTGTACCCATCTATTAAACTTCCACCAGTATTTTGCACCATCAGGGACATCCTGTTTAACATCGTAAATGACAACACATTCCATCAGCACATCCTCGAACTGGCACATCTGCTTGTCACAACTCATTCTTCCAATTCAAGGAATAACATATGAGCAACAAAGGGGAGTCCCTATGGGCAGCCCCATTGCAGGAGACCTCTGTAAAATAGTAATGAGGAAACTTGAGGCAGAATTTCTCCCAAAATACCTCTCCAACATCCTAATATATAAGCGATACATTGATGATATACTAATCTTATGGAAAGACAATAAGAACATTAAGGCGCTGGTCGAGGATATCAATAACAACCTGTATGGCTTAACTATAGAAATAGACCAGGCACATCCTACAGAGGCACACTTCCTGGACATTAACATGATGATCGAAAGTGCAACCATCCACACAGCTGTTTACCGCAAACAAACCTCAGATAGTTTATACATACCAGCAGGGTCATGTGACCCTCCTCAATACAAGGTCGCCGCATTCAAAGCCTTGATCAGGAGGGCACACATGCACTCCTGGTCTGAAATGAAATGCGTAGAGAATATAGCTGAACAGTACGGATACCACGGGCTCATATACAAACTAAATGCAAAAATGCAGCAGGAAGCAAGCCGTCACCAACTCTCCGACGATACTCCTAGTAGCAACATCCCTATCACATACAATCCAGTACTTAAATCCTTATACAAGAAGATAGCTAAGAAAAAGAATATCTGTATTACATTTAGAAGATGTGCTACGATTTTTGATTTGTTAAGGAATGGAAAGGACACCCCTGACCGAAATAAGCTCCCTGGCATCTACACCATCCTGGTCATTGATCACAGGTGTGATAGAAACATGATCTACATAGGATCAACTAAACGGCCCCTAATAACCCGGATCTGTGTTGGTTCTTTCATGGTTTCAGCAACAACACAACCTAATATACTCGTCGGACTCTGACATAGAACCTGTATTCTTGCAAGCAAAGGTCATTCACATCACCCACCGCACGAACCACCTCAGATGGCTGGAGGCGATATACATATGCATAAACACGAGTGAAGGACGTTACTGCATTAACTACAAGGACGAAATCATTCTATCGACAACCTGGCAGGCCCTAATAGATAAATCGCTAAGATAGAGCACGCCATGCATAATGCGCACGTCCGTAGTGACGTCATGGGGTCGGGACATCGTTCCAGATCATATTTCGTAACATCGTTGAACTGCATTCTGTTAGGGCAGGGGTCGGCAACCTTTTGAGTCGGAAGAGCCAAAAATTACAATTTACAAAATTTCAAAGTTTTTAGAGCCACAAAATTTTTTCTTGCCAACAATAAATAGTACTCGCATAAATAAAGTTTTTGNCTTTTGAGTCGGAAGAGCCAAAAATTACAATTTACAAAATTTCAAAGTTTTTAGAGCCACAAAATTTTTTCTTGCCAACAATAAATAGTACTCGCATAAATAAAGTTTTCTGATAAAAAAAACTAATCTATTTATTCAGAATTGTCTTGTGTCGAAAGTGAATTAAACCTCATAGAAACATCCAACGACAGCATCATTCGAGAGCGTCCGACGGACTAACGACAGTGACGACGCATGTCACGGGGGAGTAGTGCGATGAAAAGCGAGTACAAGTGGCTGAGAGATAGAATCGGTGCCGAATCCTCGTTAATCGATTCAGAACGACTTTTAAATGTTTTTTTTTTTATAAAATAAATAATATTTGCATATGGAACTAAAGAGCCGCAGCTTCACATCCAAAGAGCCGCATGTGGCTCGCGAGCCGCANTTGATAAAATAAATAATATTTGCATATGGAACTAAAGAGCCGCAGCTTCACATCCAAAGAGCCGCAGCTTCACATCCAAAGAGCCGCATGTGGCTCACGAGCCGCAGGTTGCCGACCCCGGTGTTAGGGGATCAGTACCTGAAGAAGAACCGTAACAGTTCAAAAACGTTTGTAACTGTTATAGAGTGAGATAATACATGCACCGGTAAAAGGTTTAGAGATATGAGTTGGTGTTATAACATAACACTTAGGTAATGAAAATGAAGTCATTGCATATGCATGTGGATTTCTGACAGATGAAGTCCTAACATAAGCACTTCACCAGTATAGTGAAGCATGCTAAAAATGATGGAAATGTTGCCAAAAACCTTTGGTGATGATAGTCTATCAAAAAAGTTTTTTGATAGAATATCATCACCAAAGGTTTTTGAGTTATACAAGATGTTCAAGGAAGGCAGTGAATCCATTGAAGAAGAACCACGCACTAGTAGATCATGTACTTTAACTGATCACTCGGGCCAGAGATCTGGTGCTGAGTGATCAGTTAAACAATGATTGTTGTTTAACATTTACAGACATTATTGGACATGTTCCAGTATCATTTAGATCAGGGTCCAACCTTTTTGTTTCTATGGGCCACATTAGAAGAAGTCATGGAGTTTTGAGCCACAAGTATATTTTGGCCCAATCCTTAAATATACAAGTATATTTAAGGTTTAACATATCTAGATTATAGTAATAAGTATTAAAAGTTTATCACAAAAAAGAATATTTTTAAAAATTACTTTTACAGACACTTTCAATTTTTACTTAGAAATGGATACCGTATTTTGATGAGTATAAGTCGCTGTCAAGTATAAGACGCACCCCTTTTTGAGACAAAAAATTTAGAAAAAATCTTTTTTAATGGGATTGTCTAAAGATGCATTTTATTAATCATAGTGGCCAAGAAATTCTTCAACTGAATCACTGGTAAATTATACCCATTAGGAAACATACCTATGATGTCATAGGTATGTTTCCTAATGGCGTCAGTAATGACTGATTCATCATCCCTTTTTTCTTGAATTCCCGAAGTATTGACTGAATTATCATCATCAGAATCTTCATAGATTGCCTCATCTTCTGTACCACTCAGAGCATTAGATATTCCGGTTTTCTTGAATGACTTAATAATGATCTCTGTTTTAATACCTTCCCAAGAACGCAGCACCCAATCACACACTTGTGCAATGCTGGCTCATTTTATTCTCCTTGTTGGTGTTAAACTTTTATTTGCAACACTCATCATCCACTTGTTCCATTCATCACAAATTATTTCAGTTTAATAAAGGTATCGATTCATCCATCCGTCATATTCTTGAATAAAATGCTTTATTAAACTGAAATAATCGTAATTTCTTAATGTAAACTCAGAGGTCATGTGATGACAGTCGACAGAACATGGCGGCGATGACTCGTGTGTTGCTACTCCGATAATCTAGGTACTCTAGCCATTCGGTTGAGGGACCATCTGCTTAACGGACCACTGCACAGGTTGGTCCCTAGAGTGGACCACTACTGTAGATACTTTCACTGTAAAAATGGTTACCTGTCGAGTATAAGATGCACCATGATTTTGAGCCCCAAAAAGTAGTAAAAAAAGTGCAACTTATACTCGTCAAAATACGGTAAATTCATTTATTATAAAGAAGACAAACAAAAATTTATTTGAAAAACACAAATATTTGTTTTATTTAGGTCTCTAATTAATAAAAAACTACAAAACACCATTTTAAAGCGCATTTTTATTCAACTAATATATTTATAAATAATATGTAGCCCAAAAACTAGCCAATGCGCCAACTGATATTTTTTACGTCAAACTAATAAAAGGGTAGCCAAATCTTGCAATGCTGGAAGGAATATTAAATAAAGCTGGATTTGGGACTCAAAGGATTATAGACCCAAAAGCAGGGAAAGGAGAAAAAAGACAAAAGATAAAGAAGTGAGGAATGTTGGAAAATTAAGGGTCAATATTTGCATAACAGATTTAAGTCTATAACTAGAAAAGGTCTATTTAACATTTCTCATTACTTTTTATCTTTAGGCCTTTCTCTCCTTTCCCCAAATTTGAGTCTATATGCCTTTGAGTCATAACTCCAGCTTTATTTAGTATACCTTCCTCATTCACACATTTCCAAGTATTTGAAAATATTTCCTTTCCACTAAAAATAAAATATGTATAAAGGTTTATGGCTTCGTGAAACTTCTTTTTTGAGTTTATGCCGTTGAAATAAATAAATAAATAAATCATAAAAAAATTTGTCAGTTTTGTGTACACATTTATTGGGCCACATTCAGGCCTGCCTTGGGTCGCATGCAGCCCACAGGTTGGACAACCTCTGATTTAGATCTTGTCAAACAATTTTAAATCATCATTTGAATTTGTGGTATGCCACTTCAAGTTTTCCCAAAAGTGTTGAATTTTTTCCAAAAACAACAACATATTCAAATGGCCAATGAAATGCTTTCTCAAAACAAATAGTTCTTAAAATGCATTATTACAGATGATGAAACATGGATCGATGCTTTTCACACTGAAACAGCTCAACAATCAAGTGAATGATGCTTAAAAGGTGAAGCAAGACTGAAAAGATTATATCAAAGTCAGTCAAAAATCGAGGTCATGTTGACTATTTTTTCAATTTTTGTGGTGCTGTGCATCACAAATTCCTTCTGTATGTCCAAACTGTGAACAAAGACTATTATTTAAGCATTTTGCATTATTTGTGAGAAGCAATTTGCAGAAAATGACCTGATTTGTGGTGAGAAAACTCATTTATTTTGCACCATTGTACTGAACCTGCTCACAATGCTCTTGTTCGTAATTTTTTGGTGAAAAATTCAATAAATACAGTTCTGCAAGCTCCATATCCACCTGGTATGGGGCACTGAACAACATTTTCCTGTTTCCCTGACTAAAATTTCTGTTTTGTGGTCACCATTTTTAGTCAAATGATGCCATAGAACAAAATTCACTGCAATTCCTGAAGGTCTTTCACAAAAACAACTTTAAAGCATGTTTCAAGGATTGGAAAAAACACTGGCATAAGTGCATTGCAGTTGAAAGAGGAGAAATAAATTTTGATGAATAAAGTCAAATCTTGTGTTTTATTGAACCACTCCCGATACTTTTTGATCACAGGGATAAAATTTTTAAACTAATCTTATTAGATAAACATACATAGGTGATATAATACAAATTTTCAATGTAAGATTATATTTCTATATTTTCACTAAATTCTATTTTTTGAATTTTGTTAAATAAGAAAAGAACAATATTAAATACTATAATGCCATAGTAAATAAGTTTAAATTATTATTATTATTAATAATTATGACATACTTTTTGGTCTTCATTTAATTCTTTGCCGTTTTTGTGATCATTCCGATAATTGTCCAGTTTTCCCTATTAATAAACAAAAAAGTTATTTAGGTTATTAAGGTAATCATACAAAAAAAATTTTATTTTCTTGAAATCAGAATTGAAAATTTTTAAGAGAATTTAAGCTATAAAGCTATGATTGAGACAAGAATTTTGCCAAGATAGGCCAAGGTATGTGCTATCCATTCTGAAAAATTTGCTGTTAGATCATTAGGAATTTTTCATGTTTTAGATATCTTAGGTCTTTCTCTTACTACTCAGTCATCATATTGTAAGCTTTGCTAAATCCATAATAGACATTAAAAAAATAAAAAACTTGACACTGTCAACCTTATAATGTAAACCCAATACAATTTTTCCAAATTATGCAATTCACAATGAGTGGATAGCAAGGTCGCAGCTGAAGTTTTCAATGCAAAAATGTGAATATTGGATGTTCAGCGCCACCTTCCTGAAGTCTAGAAGTTTGACAATGGCATTGGAACATCAGTGGAATCATGCTCAATTTTTCAAACTTCTAGACTTACAGGAAGGCAGCGCTGAATGTCTGACATTCACATTTTCGCATTGAAAACTTCAGCAGCAACCTTGCTAATATCACAAAATAATCATACTCTTTATTAACAATACAATAAAATAAATCTTTTTTGCAATTCTTCCGAATGCACACTAACATCCCCAATCTCCTCATTAGCAACTAAATATCATACTCAGCTATTTAAAATACTTAATGAA